TCTCTCCTTGAAACCGCCATGAAAGAAAGGTGAAAGTCAAGCTCACGACTTAAAAAGAGCGCTTGTGGGAGGCAACCCATTATGTAGTTGTTTGTTTTGTTTCAGTTTTTTTATGAGTGTATTTTTTTTTGTATCTCACATCTGCAGGATCACAACGAGGCATTTAGGGAAGTCCTCTTAAATCTTTCTCTCCTTGTTCTTGTTATGCACATTGAGGACAATGTATATCTTAAGTGTGGAGGAGGATCAAAGGGTTGATAAATTTTTTCGGACTCTAGCATGCTTCGATTGCCCCATCTCTAACCTTTCTTTTCGAAATTTCTGCTCCTTAAAGACTTGTTTTTGAATGATTGTAAACCGTCATGAATCATGTGCTTAGGTGAGATAGACAAGAAATGATGCAGGCAAATCTAGCTGAAATTTTCGGCTATGGAAGGTCTCTCAGTAGTTTGAATGATCAATAGGCAAGATGCAATACAGATTTGACCCTTGTGAGCATTCGGTTTCTGACGGACAAACATGGTTTGATTATTCTAGAACTTGTCTTATTAGGCATGTTGAGACCAYGATAATGAGTTCATGGATTGGAACATGATTTTTATCCAAAAAAAAAATATTTCTGAATAAGTGTGAGATGGAGCATAAAATGCACTCACACCAAAAATATAAGAAAATGATGAGATGGAGCATAAAATGCACTCATTCCTAGATCCCAAACCCTAATTCACCTTTCGATGCAGTGGACTCATGATAAGTGGTGGAGATGTGAAAGATAAGCAAGTTTATGGTGATAACATTCCTTGTTTCATTCTGAAAAATCATGAGAGGGTATTTTTGAATCTTGCTACATGTGATTGTGAAAACAAAAAGGGCTTACTCTAGTCCTAAATTATTCATGCGAAGATATACTTATTTCCCTCGATTGTCGATCTCATTTGGGATCAAGAGGATTGGCGATTTAAGATGATTCTTTGACAAGTTAAAGAGGAAAAGAGGTGGACGAAGGAAAGGATCATAAATACTGATCAAGGCATGAAAGAGGGCGAACATCCTGTGAAAAATGACCTCCAAAAATTTTAGTAGTTAGTCAGCTTGTTCTGTTTTAGTTTTTTTTCTTTTTCTTCAGTTTTGTCTTGCCCGAGGACGGGCAAGGTTTAAGTGTGGGGGAATTTGATGAGGGTAGAATTTATCACATTTTTATCACCAAATATTTTGCCTTTCATACCTAATTAGTACTTAATTGGACTCATATCTCTTGTATTTTGATTCAGGGCATGAAAGAAGGCATTAGGAGCAAAGAAAGGCTAATCGGATGGGTTTTTCACAATTTCGGCAGCAATCAGTAATCCGGACATAACTTTCATATCCGAGATCCGATTGGGCTGATTCAAGATTCATTGGAAAGATAAGAGATAAATCTACAACCTTTATGTTTTGGGATTTCATAGACTCGGCCTACATCGAAGTAAAATCCGGGCCCAAAGATGGAGCACTTTCGTAGTGAGGCCCAATTCCCAGTTGAAGCCCATTTCGCAGAAGAACATTGAGGCGGCCCAAGTTATTAAAGCAGCCCATTTGAATTTAAGAGTTTGAGAGTCCTCTTAGATTTAAACTTTTAAATGTAATTCCAAAAAGATTAAGAAAGGTTTTAGATAAGGAGAGAGGAGAGAAGATATGATAGGATAGGAGGAGTTTGGATCAAGGCTGGATTATCCATTCTTGAGATAACTCCAAGAAATTGTAAGTTATATGAGAGCTGGGCGCACCAGCCCAAGGGCATCACGAATTGCATTGAGGAATCAGTCAAGAGAGGAGAAAAGAAGTCAAGAAACAGAGGAAAGGTGATTAAGAATTCAAGAAACTTCAAGAAGAAGGCGACGGCAAGAAGAGGAGATCTCAGCACCATGGGCGAATTCAAGAGTTCTTTCTTTACCTTTGTTTGCTTTAATTCTCTTATCATGAACTGATTTGTTTCTTGCTAGGGTTGTGGAAAGCCTAACCATGTTAATGAATATATTTTTATCTTTATGATTTATCCAAGATTATGATTTCCATATAGTCTATGAATTATTGTGCTTAATGCAACTAAGAGCTTGGCCACCTCTTAATTGATTTGTGTTATGTGAATAAATCGAGAGAGGAATTCACATAATCGACTGAATAATTCATAATGTGAATTGAATGGTATATAGAGATATATATACATGATTCATCTGAGCTTAATGGTTTTTCTTGGACTTAATGCATTTCCATCTTGAGAGCTCTACTCGAGAGATCAAAGGGTTACCTGATGGACGTAGTTTTAGTATATCTCGAGAGAGAATATTAAATAAAATTGGAAAGACCTCAGCTTATGGGAATGACAAATAATCTTGTTTAATCAAATCCATTAATATTCATTACATTGGTTAGGTGGACCAAAAGCCCTAGTGATTTCATCCATTGCATATTCAGTTAGTGATCACCCTTGCTTCTATTTTCTTTTTCTAGTTTTTATTTTTAGTAGTTCTTGCTCAAAACTGGATTTCGATTGTCCAAATAATTAAGGAAGACTGTGGTTCTAATACTTATTTTGTTAAATCCCCGTGGGAACAATATTTTATACTACTTGATAACTAATGCACCTGCTAGGGTTATATATTTATAGCTATCATCGCTAACTGAATTTAAGCTAGATCGGCAGAAGTAGGTTGCTTCTTCACGCTAACCTGATATCTCCCAAACTGTTCGTAGATCGTCCTACCAAAGTGGGGCCGAGGAGGTTGAGACAAATAACAGGTGGCCGAAATACTCCCAAGGCTTATTTACGTGACACTGAGATATCATTTGACGATTCTATAGTGCTACATGTTGTGTTATATGGCTGGTGTGATGCATTACGAAGCCATAAATTATAGGACATATGCACTTAATGGCTGATGTGGGGCAGATTTGTCCCATAGACTGATACACGGATATCAAATTCGGCTAATCCATTTTGTAATTCTCTAATTGATTCACACAATTCATCTAATCAACTATGGACAAACTAAGGGTCTAATTGATTGGGCTCAATTTAATTAATGACTACGGACAAGCTGACTCAACTAGCAAGGTGGATTCCCCCAACAACCTATGAACCATGTCTGGTGAAAACCCGAGAAGCCAAAAATGACTGCGTTGAAGCCAAAAATGTGAGTTTCTGTCTAAGCTTTTTTACAGGTTTTTCCAAAGCAGCTGTATCAACGCTTCAACAGTCCTCACAAACAGACCATTCCCACTAATCTAGAAGCAAATTCACTCTCCACTCTTCATCCTTCACCCCTGAGACAGGACACAACCATTTTTGCCATTGGGTTGCGGGTTGAATATCTAACCATATCCTATATCCAATTAGATTGTTGACGGCTGTGACTGGCCAAACCGAGCTGAACTGGAACTGTTTCCCTTGATCAAAGTTCAAAATATTGATACACTCAATATGTCGGTAGAGGTATATCAGTCAGTATCAATACTTTTTTTTTAGTCTTTTTATAAATCTAGTTCAGAGGGATTGATTTAGAGGTATATCAGTCAGTATACATATCGGCCGATACGTATCAATACTTAGAACCTTACCCTTAATATCAACTGTTCTTTTACTTTTATGCCAAGAAAAAAATATCCATGTTTTACACCTAATTATTTTTTATAGCTACTCATATTCCATGTTTAGTTACGGGTTAGTTAGGCGTGACGCCAGGCCAGGACAAGCCCTTACCACCTTGCCAAACAACTTCCTCCATGTCTCACAGTAGAGGCGGAGCTAGGTGGTGGAGGAGAGGGGCCATGGCCCCCTCTATGCATTAAAATCCCCACAATGTTTATTTCATCTTACATATATTTTGGCCCATTTACTCGTGTTTATTAGTTTTTGGCTCACCCAATCCAAGTCTATTAGTTTCTGGCCCCCTTAATAAAAAAATCCCAACTCCTTTAAACTCCTTCCACACCTTCAGTGCATGTCAAGCCCGTAGCCCCTACCTCAGCTTTCTTGTCTTAGAGTTCTTCATTCTGGTTATAAACGTGCCCAAAGTCCCAAACAACCAAACCCCAAAACATAGATATGGGGGGATTACACTAACAGACAAATTGGGATTGGCTCCTTATAAGAGTGCTCCTCACACTGACCTCGCAGTCACATCCCACCATTGGAAACATCTCCCCTGAAGATGTTCCCAGTGTGTTGTTGAGACATTGTGAGATCAGTGTGAGAAGCATTCTGTAAGGAACAGATTAAGATGGCATCAAGGCTTAAAGTAATGGTACATATCGGCCGATACGTATCATGCTGATGGCTTCCTGATATGCCCCTCTAGGGTAACTGGACATTAAACCAACCCCTCTAAACCAGTTTTAAAAAATAAATAAATAAAACCTAAAAAAAGTATACGGGCCGATACACGGGCCTGTGTTGATAGACGGCATTGCATCTTGTCATTTTTGACCGTAAAGACCTCCCTACTCCATTGCCGAGGGATTTCTCTTCTCGGGCATAGCCTATAGTTGAGGATTTCAATGGGTCGGGTCTGACCCAATAGACCCATACCAATTGAGCCAATAGTTCTGGTTCCAGGATCTATATCGATGGATCAGTTCCGATTGCTTAATCTATTGTCCCAATTATTATTGATTCGGAACTGATTCTATCCAGTCCCAACCCGATATATTTCCAGCAGCTTTATTATAATTGGGTCCAGATTATCCCGAGAACTGATTAATTGGTTCTCGGTCCAAAATTACAGACCGTATATGATCTGATTCCTTGATATTTGTTATTGAATCGATTCCAATTCTATCATGTCCCGACCTGTTGACAGCCCTACCTGTAGCCTCTTCTCCACGGACGAAATTATAAGCTTCCTTATCCTTTTTAATACTCTTTTTAAAAAGAAATTAAAAAGAGTATTAGCTGATCACAGCTGAAGCCTGAAAGTAGAGTGATCGAACCTCTTAAGAAAACCTTTCAATCTAAAAGAGAGTAGAAATCAACAAGTTCATGTGAAAAAATTTGTACAAAATTCAAAAATATGAAGTACAAGTTTAACTAGAGGCAATGGATGCAGCCGATGTTGATTCATGATTGAAATCGGATGATGAAACGCACCACCTTTGGCTACAAAATAACATCATATCACCCAAATACAAATAAACTCAACTCTAAAAATTCATACTTTGAAGGAAAAACCCAGCAGAACAAGAACACGGCCAACTGCATTAAATGCCTTCCAGTGTATGTATCATGTATGTTGCCCAGTAAGAAGACCATCTCCCTTGAAGATTTTTTTTTTTTTCTGAGAATTTTCAAAAACAGAGGCCCAAGGGTCCTGGTCCCAACTTCATGTAGGGCAAACAACAGCACTTGGATCTTGGAAATTGGAATATTTTAGCTTTCAGGTCTTCACTTCTCTTCAGCATGCCTCCCAGAAACTTGCGAATCTGCTATTCTTGATTCACGCCTCCTCTTACTACGTGAATGTCTTGCCCGGGAGACTCGGCCTGTCTTGGAGGAAGGTTTCTCTCTGCGCTCTTGAGCGCCACTCACATTTTCATTAGATGGGAGTTCTGGAGGTGCATCTGGCCACGGTGTTCGTTTTGCAGGGACAGTGATGTCCAAGGGAGGGTCAATTATCCATCTACACGCAGTTAACAACTCACACTCAGAATAAACACTATACAGTTGTAGGAAAACCATCTAATATAACCATAATGCAGGTGAAACTTAAAGCATATCCAAACAAAGATATTGATATCATACACATTATTTGAATGTCAACCTTAGGATATTGGAAAAGAACATCTCAACCTCAACTCTATGGGCCGATATTGATGTTAATCATATTAACAAAAGCACTACAAGATCAAATGCCATCAAATGAACAAATGAACTCGGACCTTTCCTACAACAGGAATGTACATGATTATCTACATAGTCCCCCTTTGCAAATCCCTTTTCTAACACATCAAGGTTCACTCTATGTCTCTATAAGGCCATCAACTGGTTAGGTCCGGGCTGGATCAGGAAAAAACCAGGAACCAACCTATTAAGAAAATGCACATACCTAAAATTAGCTCAGACCATAAGGTTTGAAGGGCAAGGTAGGGAAACCTGTACAAACCTACCTTTTCCTTCAAACCAAAAGCAGCCTAAGGGTTTATAGGTAGCAGGTCTAAAACTGATCTAATGATTAATTGAGTTTATTGGATTCAGGTCTGACTTTATAAAGGCTCAATTAAAACGTACCTACTATTATTAAATAGTAAATACCATATAGAAGTATACAGATATTGCATATTATAACATTATATGATAATGATATTAATATTATTTAGTTGGGAGCCCAAAAGGGCCCTTCATGTTTTTGTAGCCTTTATTCATGAGGCAAGTTTCAGCACCAAAATACTTGTCAAGTGTCCATAATAAGCCCTTTCTGGGAATTCTCATGAAAAAGTGAAAATTGAATGACTAATATTTATCGGAAAAATAAAAAAATAAAATAAACACCAATACAAGGTGTGCTTAAGACTAATTTGAACTGGAGAATTGAACACCCTGAACAATCAAAGTGCTCCACATGGTGGAAGTTTGGATCTGCCACAACATCATTCCAAATGCGAGAAATAGGGCTTGTCATGTAGGAATGCTTCATACTTGACCCTTGCTTGCAAAACTTTTTCCCTATAGATATAATAGGCTTATACAATTTATTATCTGTGGGAACATGGTGGACCCAGTAAGCCAGCACTAACCCAATAATTACCAGGTCTCAGAAATAAGACCAAGAACCAGCATATAATAACTGGGACATGCTACCCATGTCCAGATCAGGTTCCCAGTTTGATGTACCCCATTGACGGTAATGAGTTAATGCTTGGGATTTACCAGAAAGGAACCTTCCATCATCACTCCATCTATTCTCTATCTACTTAATCAAAGGTTTTTGTGAGCTTTATGAGTGATTCTCATAGTTTCCACTTTGGGTTATCTGTTATTCTTTTAATAACAACCCAGAAAGACACTTAGGAATCAAAAGCAGGATGGATTTAAAAGAGAGCCGCAAGCTTGTAATGGTTAGGCTGCCTTTTCTTTGTTTTATTAGTAGCTACAGTTGCTTTCATCTGTATACTTCCTACTCCCTTTGTGACAATGGGTCTCTAATCTAAGTTTGAGTTAAAATAAAAAAAAATAAAAATAAAAAAAAAACAGAAACAAATGAATTAATAAGTGGACACAATTCATCAAATCCTTTTTAACCCCCCTCAACCCCCTTTCGAGTTTTCAACCAGAACCACATCATGAATTCTGAATGGAACAATCACTAGTATACCACCCATATGACCAAACCATATGAATCAACTTTCTTTTATTGACTCATCTCATGCAAATATCCTAAAGTTTTTATGCTTGTCATGTAAATTTCCTTCCAGTTTTATTCACATGTCTGGATCACATAATTCTCCAGTGCAACATCTCCTTCCACACTGCTCTAATTAAGTAATTATATGTAGTTATGCACAAACATATTCATTCTCCCCCATTATGAACGATCCGTCCATAGTAGTGAAGTGTTTTGAGTATCTCCTTGGTCATCAATATAAATTGTCCCCTCACCTGTACCCATTGAACTACATATAAAACCCCTATTTTCTTTTCTCTAGTCTCACCAATCAAGTTTTGTCACAATTAAATAACATGGAATTGTCAACTAACAGTAAGGACAAAAGACTTTCAATAGCATGAACCTCTTTGTTTTGGTACTTGGCAGTTTTCATCCCAACTAACTTTTTTAAACACTGAAAACAACCAGCATGCATTTATTATAGCGAACGGTTGCCTACTAGTATCTTAAACAAATGGATTGTTCTGAAGAATGGAAAAATTTGCCAAAACCCACCTAAGTTCATTCAATCGAATCATTTTCAAATTGAGATCTTTACTTTCATTCTTTTTTTATCAATATCAGTAACTTTGGCCCCATAAAAAAAAGTAGTAGAGCATAAACATATAGAACTTATTTAAGAACTTGAAAAAAAAAAAGATCCACAAAACATGTTAATCATTCTTCATATGTGTTGAACAAGTTTTCCTATACAAAACATGTTAATCATTCTTCATATGGAAGACTAGCCACCAAATGTTTGATTGTGTTAACGGTAAAAAAGTAAATAAATTTATTAAAAATTATTAAGCTCTAATTCCAACGAATTGGAAAATGCAAAAAGGAAGAAACAAAATGATTTTTGGGTATTTTCTCTTTAATGTGAACCTTATATGTGTTTTATGCCCCAAGGTATAAGCATATACCTCTCATGCACCTTCCACATACCCATTTTCCTAAGTTTCAGAGGATCAGTCCTCCTCTTAAGTACTTTGTTAACCTAAATAATTTAGAAAATTCTCGTATACTGGTTAACCTTGGCATGACCTAGCTGCTGGAGTATGGCCTTAGCATGAAATCACTAAAAGAGGCATATTAACATGTCTAAGAGGATACTTTAAACATATATCCAATGTGGTAAATTGGTAATAAGTAATAACCACTTTAACAGACTTGGTTGGTCCCTCAATGGAAGTGTGAGGTTTACTCTCTTTCTAGTTTTGTATCCCTGTGTTCTTCACATCTTTTCAGACTAAAAATGTATTTGTATATACTTGGTAAAGTTGAACTAAGATTATTTTGCTTTGTTCTTGTAAGTCCTCACCTTTGCCATATTATGCTTTTGTTCCCTGTTCTCTGTTTCCATTTCTTCTTGCACTGCAGAAGCCCCCGTCAGTATATCGTTCCTATACCAATGTAGTTTTAGTTATTACACCTATCCTTTTTATGCATATAATATGTCTATCGGTGACCAGTTAAATTGATTTTGGTTTCTTCATTTTCTCACTTAGAAATACAACAGATTTTCATAAATGATGTAGAATACTTATAAAATGGAACTCCCAAATACAATAACATTCAAAATTGAGATTGGTCTACCTCATTTTTACAAAATTAATGGCAGGTTTTGTCAAATGCACTTATGAGTATGCCATATGGATGCATTCTGGTAGATCATCACTCATCAGATGCAAATAAAAGGATATGACAACCAAAAAATGCCATGGAAAAAGAAAAAACATGTAGTATCGTTGATCATAACCAGTATCAGATAAAGGAAGCAAAATATAAAGAACGAAAAAATATAAGTAACAAGGAAGCAAAATATAAACAACAGAAAAAGAGTTGGAAAAAAAAAAAACTAACCCAGGAGGGAACTTGCTGTCTGCACGAGCCTCAACACGGAGCCACCATAGCAAAATCTTGCGCCCACAATTCCCAAGAGGCTCGACAACAGAAGTGTCCTCCAAAAGAGAGAGTGGACTGTCGAGGTCCTCTTCATCTGCAACCAGTTTATCTAGATCCTTTACCCACTCTGGTTTATCCTCAATGTCCTTCCAAACCAACTTCGAGTTCAAAACAAACCCAGCCCATTCCAGCTTCCTAGGAAGTACTATTGCCCTGTCATCAATGTAAGTCGCACTTTTCTCTACATACGGCAGAGAATTGAAAGTGTGCCAACCAACCAACTGACCGGACGAATTACAAGCCGGGCCTTGAACAGGCAACGGCAAGTTCTCCTCATCCTCCTGCTTTTGAAGCAATGAGGATGACTCATCTGAATTCCCAGAATGAGCAAGAATTCCAACAGAAAGGGCACCAATCCATTTAACCGATTGGATCTCGTCAAACAATTCCATACTATGCGTGTTACCATCATCTGCAAACATCACAATTCCGTCCAATCTCTGCTCTCTCACGACTCTGTACAACGGTATACCTACTAAATCAAGTTGACTTCCCAAAAGAAGAAAAAGAAATCTCAAACAAGAAAGAACTGGAACAAGTAAAGAGCCGTGAATTTACCTCAGCGCACGAAGGCGCATCCGAGTTTCCATCCGATGTCGAGCTTCCCACGTTATTGGCATCCTCTCCTCGAATCCAATGTGGATAGTACGAAGTCCTGACTTCTCGAGAAGAGCAGCGGTCTCCTTGGTGGTTCCTCCGGCTTCGACGACGATCCAAGTGAGATCGTAGGGGACGAGCATCAGCGAGTGCATGAGGCCGGTCAGGTGCAGGGTTTGAAAAGTCCGGATATAGGTGGGGGTAACAATTATCAGGGGTCTTGGGTTCTTAACCCCATACTGAAGCCGCTGCTCTCTCTGAACTCTTTCAATAATACGATGCGCCTTCATAACCTCGATGGGATTGGGATGTGGCCATGGACGGATCAAGATCCCGTGACGGCCGACGACAACGCGGCTGCTGGTAGTGGCAGGGTTTGTTCGGTTCGATGGCGTGTCAGTAATCAAGACCGGAGGGGTCTGAAGGGTTAGGGTTTGGGTGGCATCACTAGTGGTCCGGAGTAGCGCCGGTACGGTATAGTGATTAGTGGTGGAGGTGGTATTAGTAGAGAAGAGGAGAAAGAAAATAAGACGAGAGAACCTGAAACCCAAAACGAGGCTGATGAGGCAGCAGAGACCGTGGAGAACGACCCAGAAGAATGACGCCAGAGGTTTAAATGCGCTGTCGACGGAAGAGTCAAGCGGACCAGTTGTTCTGAAGCTGTTGTTTCTGCGAGTGTTGCAGTTTTGCTGCTGAGAGAGCTTCATTTGGCTCCCTTCTGTGTTCCTTCCTACTATGAGACAGAGAGAGAGAGGGGCAATCGAGGAAGATATGGAGATGGAGAGGTAGTAGTTGGTTTTGTAGTGTGTTTAAGTTGGATGTTTGGTTTTTCTATCAATTCAAATTAAAGCTGTGTGTTGGTTTCTGTTATGGGGTTGCTTTCGGTTGTTTGGATTTGTGGGAGAAAGAGGAGAGCTTTGAGTAGGAAGCAGATTCAGACTTTTTCCTTTTTTATTATATGTGGGTTGGTGGAGTTGTTTTTGAGGAGCTTGGTTTTCTTTGGTTATACGAATTCCGTGGAGATGGAGTAGGGAGTAGGGACGAGGGAGAACCAGAGACGGGGAAATTTTTTGGACCTCCAGTCGGTATTTTCGGGCCCTGATAGCTAAGTCGGCGTCGGTTGGTGGGTGGATCCCTTGATTTCAGAGAATCCCGCATATTAGCCTGAATTTGGAAAGAGTATAAATGTAGATATGTACAATATAAATATATAAAATAATACAAAAATATAAGTTTTGTACTCTACATATTTGCATTTATACTCCTTACGAGTTCTGCTTTTATTATCGGAGAATTCACATTTAGGAGTGCATCACAATGCCTCACAGCACATTTCCACCTTGTACTGAGAACATCTCTCAATCAGGGTAAAAGTTTGTTCGAACAGCTTTGCATTGGGAATATCTTCCTAATTATGTACTTTGGGGAGATATACCCAATGCAAGGTTGCTAAAGACTGTTCGAACGGTGTGGATAGTCAAGTCAAGTTCAAACATAGGAGGCCACTAGTTGCGATTACAAAAAAATCCTTTTTATCCCTGATTAAATCAAAGTTTTCTTTCTGCTGTCACCGATTGGAAAATTCTCGATTGGTATCATTTATTTTGGGTGTAGTGCCATTTTGGTTTCTAAACTTTAAAACACGACCATGTATAAATGTATCAATTTAATTAATATCTACCTTAATCCACCAGTAGTTATGCGTGACATGACAGTATATACGATTTAGAACTTTTGAAAATATTAAAATTACCCTTATAAATAAAACATTATCCCTCATTCTCTTCCTCGAAAAGATGAAAGAAATTACCAATTCCGTAAAGCATGTTGGCTAGGTACATGTTTCTTTAATGAATGTTGGTAAGAATTGTGTGTGGAGAGAGAGAGAGCTGAGCAGCGATTCGAAGGTGGAGACGATCTCAAGACTTGCTCAACGGAAGATAGAGAACTTTGGTCCATGCTCTTACAGACGGTCTGACCTTTCCAAGGCCGGAATTTGGAACTGGTAATACCCTTGTTCCTTGTATAATTCTCCATGAAACCCACCCTTTCTTTTTCTTTAGTATAGTTTGATTCTTCTGAGTTCATCCAATTGTGTTTCAATTCCGAAATATTCGCCTGATTTGTTCCTTTTCCATTGAAATACATGCACTTGTTGATAGAGAAGAATCGCTATCTCTACATTCGTCTCTTTCCAGAGCCTTGTCGGGTTGCTAAAGAACAACTTCCAATAGCTAGATTTGTTCTCTGAGTCTTCAATGTTGGCGCTAGTTGTCACCCTTATCTTTCGCCAAGTATTTATTCTAATTTCGGTTTTTTTTTGCTATAAATTCTAATTCCGTTATTGTTTTGTATTTGAGCATTCATTTATTAATTCCTGCTCTATTTCCGTTTGAAGAATCTAGTCAATTATCATAGAACGCTATAACAACGAAACTTCAATTAACAGGGTGAACTACTACCAAGAGGGTAACCAAGTTTATCACCATCTAGATGTCTATTGATTTCCGAAGAGCTTTGATGACTTGGGCATCATGGGTTTATAGGCATATAAATCCACACAAGACCCAAGCTCTTTTTCAAAGCTCAGCACCTTCCCATTTCAGGTTAGCTCACTGCTTTATGAAAACAAATCTGTTATTTTTCTTGTCTTGTGTTTTAGTCTGTTTCAGCTGCTTAGTAAAATGAATTTACTGAACAGGGGAGGTCAATGAATTTCCGGGGGGCACTGTAAATAATCTATTCAACCCCTCAACAATATTTCAGGATCAGACAGACTACCCGGAAAAGAATATAATTACTGAAGAGGTTACAAGGCAAATGAAGACTCCTGCAACTCCCTTGAATGTAACTAGTTTGTCAGAATTTAGGACATATGGTCATCCATCTATATATGGAAGAAAGCCAGGGAAGGGTCCTGCTTCAAGTATTCAAGACTGCAGCCATTTGTGCCTCTCCGACATTCCTGATACCTAGAATGAATTGTTGTATTATTATCTGCAATCTAAAGAAAAACACAATTCCACTTAGCAAACTGATGAACACATCTTAATGTCTCTCAGGTATTTTTTTTTTCTTCCTTTGCTGTGATTGTTGTTCATAAAAAAGAAGAGGGGACGTTTGGTCTTCAATCTTTTTCTACTAATGCTTTTAGTTCTCATATTACCATTCGCCTTCCCTCTTTAGTTAAATGCTACTCGGTGATGATTAGATTGCCTAAGTTGGTTTCTCTCTCTTTATTTTTGCATTTTTTTTTTATCTCTATTTGACTGAATACTCTACTGAGTTTGATGTGAATTAGATGGATGATAAAGAAAATTAGATGACATTCGAAGGGTGTTAATGTCTTTTCAAACACCACTTAATAGAAAGTACTGGATTGACACATTATGAAAGTTTGGGAATTGAATTATCACGTTTTAAAGTTCAGAGACCAAAGTGACACTAAACCCAAAGTACAGGGTATTAATCGGGAATTTTCCCATCACCAATTGCTAAGATAAATCATTGGGCGGGACCAAGTGCTGAAGACCTGAGGGTTTTTCATTTTGGGAAATTTTCCAATTAGTACCTTTACTTTCAGATTAGTGCCACTTTGATCCCTAAACTTTAAAATGCATAATTCAGTACTTGAACTTTTAAAACATGTCAATTTAGTACTTACCGTTAATCAGCCATTATTAGCATTTGAAAAGGCACAAATGCCCTTTAAGTGTTATCTAATTTTCTTTATCAACCATTTAAACATTGACAAAAAATGAACAGTCCCAAATTCTTGCCTCTTTTATTTAAGAAAGTTGGGGTTATCAAAATGTCCATTAATTAAACTAACCCCAACTTTCTTGAATACAAGAGAAAAGGATTTGGGACTGTTCATTTTTTATCAATGCTTGAATGGTTAATAAAGAAAATTAGATGACACTTGAAGGGTATTTGTGTCTTTTCAAATTTCACTTTAATGGGGGACTAATAGAAAATTTTCCCTTTCATTTTTATAGCTTGTTGCTTTTAGGCTTGGTCCAGTCCAACAAGACGACATCTCCACCCGACAATGCCCCACAACACATCCCCGCCGTGTATTGGAACGTCTCCCAATGATGTACTAGAATCGATGATGTCATCATCGGGAGATGCTTTCAATACACGGCGGGGATGTACTGTGGGGCGGGACATTATGGGGCAGAGATGTGAACTCCAATCCAACGCACCACCCATATATTTATTGTTGAATTTCAAATTCATAGAATTCTTTGCCATTTGGCAAGGGGGTTGTAGTGGGCTAAAACTGATGATGCGGCAAAAACATAGACATGGATTGAGAGAGGCTGCAACACACAATATCCCTCGTGAGTTATTGCTACAGCATAAACATGCTATGAAACTAGGAATGAAAGCATTTACTTCATATTTTCATTCTCAAAACCCAATCCTCGGCGTCAAAGAAAACTCAACAAGAAGGCCTTATTAGGCCCATAAAATGCATTCGTTACGAAGTTAAAGTGAGAAATAAATCTTAAGGTTATGTTTGGATAAGATTTTCTTTTTGTCTTTTTATAAGCATTAAGTATGTTTGATATTTTACTATAAACTTTATAGTTGGTAAAGTATTGTTTTAAAACCATGTTTTTTGTGATTAAAAGCATAAATAATTGTTTGGTTATGCCATCTTGTTTAATTATGTCATAATATTCCATGTGTCAACTTGTTATTTGTTATAATTTATAATATAAAAATGTTACATGATTCATAGTTGTGCCATGTGGTACAAATTAATGCCGCATGTTATATATTTTGCCAAATTGTGGACATCAAACATGGCATATATTTTTCCATGTGTAATTAATTTGATAGAATGCATATATTTTGTTATATTTACAACTTTGTCACGTTATCACAGGGCTAGTCAACGAGCTTGTGCGATGCTCAGACGGTGAAGTAAGCCTACAAAATAAATCAACACAAAAAAAAGAACAGCAATAATGACACATGAATTATTAAAAAAGCATTTTGTATTACATTGATATGTTAAGTACGAGCACACATTTGTGTCAAGGGGCCTCCGTGCTTAACCTTTATACCATAGTTCCCTTCTAATTAACTACCTCCCTCTAGAGAAGATGTTAAGCTTTTAGGGGTCCGATCAAAGAGTACATCAAAATGTTGAATAATTATATTGATAATTGTGAATATGTCATTGACATCCTCTCATGCACAAAAGGCAAGCAACACCCTACCCAAGACACACTTGGTGACATACTAGCTAATGACATGCAAATGGCACTGGTGATGAAATTGACTAGGGGTGAGCATAAATCGGTTTGGTTCGATTCTGTTCTATGGAAGAAGGGGTTGGTTCCAGGTTTTTGGAACTGGAAGCTATCCTATGAAGGTCAATTATGGCCTTAGTGGTTCCGGGATCAATTCCAAGGTCTACCCATGGAACCTGTTCTTTCTTTATTCTCCCCTTCAATAAAAAGAAGCATGTTTATTTAAAAACTTGATTTTCAATAAATATAATATATAGTTTAAAACTTATATTATCTTTATTGATTAAATTGAGTAACTTAATATGTGGATTATTATTATATGGTTCAAAACTTAATTTAAATTTTGGAAACATTACCTTTTACATTAGTTATTGTATATACTCAAATATTAAAATGAAAACAAATGATCAAGTCACTTAAGTAACTCAATGGTCAAGTGAGACCATGGCCTTTGTAATGATGAGTTATTGGATTCAAATCTTTATATCCCCAAAGTACTTTGGGATTTATTTTAAGGTAAATTCAGTTCTAAGGCAGGTTCCACCAAGACTAACCAAGGCCGGTTCATTAGGTCGGTTTGGGTAAGATAAACCCCTAAACCTTAGAACTGGTTTGGGTGAGGGTCAATTCCAAGAATTTGGAACTATACCCTACCCTGTAACTAGGGGTGAAAAACGGGTCGTGCTAGGCCGTGCCACCCTTCCCTGGGATATTTTGGGGATTCAACCTGGCACGGCCCATGGCCCAAGCCCGTGTGGGCTTGTGTCAGGCCAAGCTGGTCTGTGGGTCGAGCCTTGGCCCAAGTCAGGCCGTTGATCAGGCCAAAGTTATTTATTTAAAAAATTTTAAAAATAAAAATTTAATTTTATATGAATTTTGATGTATACAATTGCTTATATATACAATAATTAAATAAAATTGAAAAAAATGTTTATTTTATTAATATATTATATACTATATATTATTATATAATTATAATATATATACTATATAATATATTATATTATATATATATATATATATATTATATAAAATATACATATGGGTCAGGTCGTGCCAGCCTACAGGTTGTGCCGGCCCGGCCTGCTGACTTGAAACCCCAAGCCTAACACAACCCATACAATTGTGCCAGGTCGCGGGCGGCACTACCCGATTTACACCTCTACTTGTAACAGATTGGGTAGGGTTGGTTCTAGGCCGATTCGAGATCGGTTCCAAGTAGAACCAACCCTATCCAATCTACGGTCGGTTCCATTCAGTTCTAGGTAAAACTTACTCATTTGCTCATCCCTAAAATCAACCATGGCAACACGGTCATATTTTTATGCCATGAGTCATATATTTATAGACATCATGGCATATATCTTGCCATATGTCACTAATTTTGCCATGTGGTATATACATTTCAACCTTATGCATTTTTTGTGGAAAACACATTTCATAGTTGGCACAAATATATTTTTTTCATACAAGTGTTTATGTTTTAGGTGTTTTAATTTTGCTCTGAAAAAAAAAAAAGCAGACGTTACCAAATTCCAAAGCCTAATTTAAGCTCAAATCCCTTTTAAAATATAACCTCTGTATGATTAAAAAATGTTGATGCTCAGAATGAGCATCAACAGAAAACATTAAAAAAAAGAAAAAGAAAAACAATAATAGCAAATGAGAAATGAATAAACCAAAAACATATAGATAACATGTAAAAATCTATAAATGCGTTCATATAGCAATTTTGCTTCATTCCAAATATGAATTGGGGAGTGGGGTTAGTCTACTATAAATCAAGGAATTTTATAGGCCTTAAGAAGATGAATCTCAACAATGAGTACCTCACTACAAGAAAAACGAGATAGGCCAGCGCTAGCTAAACTGTCAGCTTAGCCTTTTAAACGCCAACATAGACATGAAACGGCGGTTTAGTAGCCACCCTCTAAAGTTGCGTCGTCCTAGGTCATGGACACTGGCCTAGAAGACAAAGACAATCGTTTTAGGGTGCCAGTCCAACCATTCATTTGACAGCGGTGTTTAGAGAACCATCGGTTTATATAATGCATGGTGACAGTCCAAATAGTTGGGACAAGCGGCCTTGACTGCCGGTTTTGTTATTGAGTCGATGCCCTTGACTGTCGGCTTAAGTTCATTTTTCATTTTCATAAATCGCCACCTTAGCCAAATTATGTAATAAAATCCGGTAGTTTTAACTGCCACCTCAGAATGAATTGTCATCTAATTAAATTGCCGCTATAAATGTTTTATTTCATCAAAGGTGGCGGTTCGGACCGTTAGCATAGATGTTGTATAAACCGTTGGTTTAAGTATAACAATATCAATTGGCACCTGTTGAAACCTAAAGCATAAAATTAATAAAACAAATGTATGGTGCATATTAAAATTTTAATAAAAAAAAACCTTTCTTTAATTATGAAATTGAAAACTGAAACAAGAATTCAATACAATCATTTCAGATAATCTAATTTGCACTTATACTCGAGTTCTGATAAGCTGATATGCATTACTAGTTTTTCAAACGACCAATGCTTCATAAACTTCTAAAGACCATCAAAACAACCAGGGGAGGTTTTCCTGCAGCATCTTGGATCCATTACGATGACAATAACAACTTAGATCCTTTATTTGAACCATCACTTGGAAATATGCATCCGCAGCTCTTACTCAATAACTCTTGAAAGGTTGCATCGGACATTTTATTCATGTTTACATCAATGGCACACAAGTGTTTCTAGAATGAGGAGTATTGGGGTGGGCCTGTAACTTGACATTTTTGCTCCCATCATTTTAACAACTTCGACAAATTTCATATCTCCCTACATCAATGGGGAAAAGCATGGTCATTAAGAGTACTATTAACTCAGCATAG